TGTTATGGTCGCAGTCTCCTTCAGATTTATAGAAGTGGGTCGACCTCGTTGTCGCAACTTGGTCTTGTTGTCAGGGTGACTATTTAGAAACTAGGTCCGAAGTCGTCTGCCATAGTAGTTGTCATGATTCCCAGCATCAGACAGTGGACTTGGTACATTCTCAAGCTTTTCGCCGGTATCGTAGTCGGCATCATCAGAATGGCAAAACTGACTGATGTTGCCGAATACGATGCCAGCGAAACGTTTGAGAATGCACCAAATCCACTGTCAGATGCTGGGAATCATGACAACTACTATGGCAGACAACTTCGGACTAGGTGCGTTCTACCAAGTCGCCCTGACAACAATACCAAGTAGCGACAACGAGGTCAACCCACTTCTATTGCATGATTTGGTTTTCTGCTTTATGCTTGTGTCACATGCATGTAAGCGTGTCAAAGTGGTGCAGGGAGGGGAGCGGATGCGATCACAACTTTATGTGTATGTAAATAGACTAGAGTATGATCCTGTAATCCTGGGTCTTGTTAGAGCTTCGTGGATTCTTGTTCGTGTGTGTATACAATAACCACGAGTTGGTTGACAATTTTAGGTCCAAGAATAGGCTCCAGCTTGGTCAAATCTTTTCCTCTTACTCAGTTGCTCTTTCTCTTACATTTCCTTTTCTTTCTCTCTCTCTCTCTCTCTCTCTCGCACACACACACATTCTATTCAGCAGCCAGAAATAGTTCCTACTTAGTTTCCTAAATTCGTTCATCTAATTCAGGATGTTCTTTGTTTTGCTAATTCCAATCGACTGCCTGATCTTCCATTTAGCTGTAAAGTTGGGATTTAGACCACTCCATCTGGTGTCCTGTACCGACCACATGTTCAGACACCTCCGAATTCCTAATTCATAAACCTTTGCAGGCGGTTCCGTCTTCTCATAGCCCTTTGTGTGTCGGTCGACAAGTCTCCATCGCATAAACACTGACACATGAGCACAAAACATTATAAGACCTGATCAACAGAGGTCGGCTGAAGGTGCTCAAAAAGAAGGCATGATCGAGGAAAGCGGTATTGTTTCTTCATACATTGTCTTGACGCTTCATTTCCTCAGTAATTCCCTTATCTTTTTTGAAAGCTGGAAGGATGATAGTATTAGGAAGCTGGGCGAATAGTTGCCCAATTCTTTGTTTTGTTCCAAATAATGTTTTCCTTACACTCTATTTCGTAGTTTTTTAAAGTTGTTAACAATTAATCCTAACGGATAATTACTCTCAAAAAAGATTTTTTTAGCCTTTATAACTACTGTTCCTCATAATTTACGTCCGCCAGACGTTAACTCCTTATTATCATTGATTTCATTACTCCTACTTCAACGCCATAAGTATGATTCGAGAAGAAATTAATTAATACATCCTACACCAGTTTGTTACTTTCTTTATCAACTAGGACATATAAAATGGGTGACCCAGCTTCTCTACATACCTTAGTGATTCTTCATTTATAAGAATGTTTTCGAGACTACTAATAGAGTATATATATGAGATGTATTCATCATATTTCGCTTAAAGTGATAAGGGAACTTCTATTTCAATTTTCCTAAAATCATATAAGTAGACCTTATGTTTTTATTGAATTTTATATGGCCCTGCTTTCCCAAAAGGTATCCTCATTCAGGGTGGACTGCAGTTTCGACCTGATCCAGGCCTTATCAACACCTCCAGCGGGACTCGAACCATTACAGGGCAGCGTATAACCTCAACACGTCTATCACTACGCCACAGTGCTAAGAATGCCTTTGGGTGACAGAACAGATGAGAATTTAAAGGATCGCCAGGCATTTCCCCATATCACATGCTATGGTGGTAAAGCAAGGCTATATGGAATTCGATGAAAATGTCATGTTTACAAATAGCATTTTGGGAAAATTCAACTAACAGTCCTCTATCATCTTTGAGGCAAAAAGTTGAAAATATCGCATATATGTAAGAGCATAATAAGTTTTCATTAGAACTGAGGTAGATTGCCATGGAGACAGCATCAACAAGAATGTTTCGGTGTATTGTTGGGGATACTTTCATGTCGTATGACAGTTCATGAAGAATAAATTCAACGACCGAACTCGCCAAAAGATAAAGTCTGATTCCCATTGTACTGCAACCGTTTGGCTGTCCTACGACCTTCAAATTGACGCAATCTACCAGATATCCTCCTTCACTTTGGGCTAAAACGGGTTGAGCTTTCGTTTATCATGTGATGGACGTCATCAGAGCTGGAACTCATTCTTGTAAAGATCCCAAGTTAAGACCATGTCAAGAAGACTGTCCGGCTCTATCTTACCTCTCATATATACCCATAACCAA